TATATATATATATAATATTAGATATAATTATACATTTTTAAATATAATTAGATCAAGTTTTTAATGGATCCATTTTTGTGGTAAATATGAAAAACTAATATATTTTTATAAGTATATTTACTTATAATACTTGTATTTATAAGAACAATCTCATATATAAAATATTAAGTTTTTCATAAAATAAACGAAGTAAACCAGTGTAATTATATTAAACTTAAAATTTTCCTTGAGGATCCTTTATGCTTTATATATAATTGAAATTATGTGTTCGTAAATTGTGTATATTCATATATATGTATGTATGTATAAATCATACAATATCAACTAAATTCGTAATATCTCGAAAATGTCTCTCGTTTAGATGTTATTATTTATATCTAGTTTGATGCATCATAATATATTATGTATAAATTTTTATATAATTTAATGTATGTCTTTCTATTTGAAAAAGAAATATAGTTTTGTATAATTCAATTTGAAGTTGTAAGCATTTTGATATAATTATTTCTAATTAGATATAAACTTTTTCTTCGAAAAAATTTCAATATAATTTTACATAATTATACATAGAATTATTAATATTTTGATATAATTACATATAATCAGATATAAAATTTTTACCCCAAAAAAATTTCAATATAATTTCATATAATTTGACATGGAGTTATAAATATTTTGATATAATTACATATAATTAGATCTAACATTTTATCCGAAAAGAATTTCAATATAATTTTATATATATAATTAAATATTTTGATATAAATGAAAATATAATTATAAATTTTTTATCCGAAAAAAATTTTAATATAATTAATTTTATATAATTTGATATGGAGTTATAAATATTTTGATATAATTGCATATAATTTGTAATATTAAGAGATCTCATTATATATAATTATATATAATTATATCTAATATGATATAATTATATATAATTAGATATAAACTTTTTTTCAGGATGATACAAAAATTATCGCATTCTGCTGATAATACAGATGAATTCATTTCAAAAATTAATATACATGTATGATCCTAATCAATTATCAATGAAATAGTGAGATAGAAAAATGTTTTAGATAAAATACTTATGATTTTTCATGAATTGTATAATTGTGTATTTAAAGTTCCCAAAAATTTAATATTTTTCAAAATATCTCCACCATTATTATTTTTGTGAATTTCAATTTCTTTTAAAAGTAAAAATTAAAAAAATGTTATGCCAAATTTAACAATATTATAATAAAATTATTTTATAAAATCACATCTTTAAGAAATGAGCTGAAAAAATTCACAAAAATAATAATAGAGGATGAGAATATTTTGAAAAATATTCAATTTTTGAAAAATCTAAATATACAGTTATAAAGTACATAAAAAAACTCATAAAAGTTTTGGCTTAAAACATTTTTCTATCTCATTATTTCCTTGATAATTGATTGGAATTAAATATAAGCATTAGCTTTGAGAAATATTTCACTTCATAAATCCCAAATTGAACTGATATAAAAAAATACATGGCTCTCATTTTTGCATTTAATAACATATTTTAAGAAAAATCAAATCGTTCCTGGACAATGACAAATCTCTAGTAAGTGAGAATTATTGATTTAAGGTTCCTAAGTAGTCACCACGATCATATTGGAATTGTGACACATCATAGACAAGAAATGATACAAAATAAAATTTATCCCACCTAATTTGCAAATAAAGAAATATTTAACTAAAACAATTGAGATGACTTGAGATGGCTGAAAAAAAGTTTCTTGCAAATAAAATCATTACTTTGGTGTTCTATGTGTGTCAAGTTTCAAAAAATCGGATGTAGATTTTTTTTATTGCTTTAAAAATGTGTAAAGTTATATATTTGCGTAAAATGAAAAAATTTTTTTTAGTTAAAAAATTCAATTTAAGCTAAAATTAATAAGAGATTTCTTCGCAGTTTGATATAAGAAACGTCTGTAAAAAAATTTGAGAAAAATCGGCATCTGACGTTCTCCAAGGTTTACTTGTAAATATTCAGAAGCCTTAAATAGAACTTTCATAATATATAAGAGATACTTCATTGAGTTATATTGGTAAATATTATCCATAGATACGCAATGATTTTCAAGAAATTAAAAATTAATAATTTTATAATAAAGTATAATAGCTGATATTATTCAGCAAGTAGGATTTTAAGAGTAATAATAATTTCATAAGAGTTCAAATTAAATTTTTCTTTTTAAGGCTTTCTTTTTCTTAGCTCTCTCACAGCGCGACATGAATTATGTGATATTAAAGATGAGAAATAACATGCAAAAAATTTCTTGCATATAGCTTTATTTTTCTTTTCTCTTAAAAACATGATATTTTCATATTCTTAAAACTTGTAAAATATCAGAAAATAAGATATCTGTCCAATGATCAGAAACAAACAGATCTAGTAGTCTATGTAATGTAGTAGTCTATGTAATTTTTGATAGCTGAGCAGTGTACTATTACCAGTTCAAGAATTATTTCACTTACACTTTTATATGATTTATTGAACAAATATCTCACTCTCTGGTATTTTTTACAAGTTTTAAGAATATAAAAATACCATGTTTTTAAGAGAAAAGTACAAAATAAAGTTATACAACGCAAGAAATTTTTGCATGTCATTTTTTGTATCTGTCTCTTGCATTCTTATCTCTTCTTAATGCTTATCTCTTCATAATTCAATATGCAGTGAGAGAATTGAACCTTAATAAATTAATAATTGATAAATCAAATAATATCAATTTTTCTCTTTTTTCTCCATTCCTTTATTTTCCCTGACTTTTTTTATTTTTATTATTTCCCAGATTTGTAGAAATCCTGATACATAATTAAAAAATTAAGGAAAAAATTGTACTTTACATTACTTTTATCTTTTTAATTTAATTATTCAGAACTTTAATAAGCCTTATACTTTCATTTTTATTTTTTCAATCATTAATTAGATTGTAAAAAAAATTATTACATCATGCTAAAACTTAAAATATAACAAGTACAAACTTACTTGAAGAACAGTTTTCAAAGTACATTTAGAATTATCTGTATATGATTCAGTAGCCCTTGATATCATATAATCCTCTGCATCAGTATCACCAGAGTCTCGCTCAATGCCTTCATCATCAGTTTCTTGTAGACGTTCTTCAATACCTTCATAGGCTAATAATAATAATCAAATAATATTTTAAAACAAAAACTAATCCTAATTATTATAATTTAAATTTCCATTTAAACATGCGATTAGATATTATTAAAAAAATAAATATTCAATGTATATAAGTTGAGAACATGATTACAACCAAAATATGAATAGTTTTCGGCAGGCAAGATCTTAGTCTAATAAGCTTTAATTTTTTAATTTATTAGATACATGTTGCGCACGCGCTATTTATTTTCTAGCATATATTTTTCAATTAAATACAAAATTCATATTTAAC